ATGGAAGGGAGTTTCTGTTTCCCTGTTGGTCTGTGTCACCTTGTGTATCATGATACATAGAGAACACTACGCGAGGTCTCATTACATACGAATTGTACGAAACAAGTGTCCTTCCTATGGTATCGAAAGCGATGTCAGAAACCATGGGAAGGTCACGAGTTTCGTATAATTCGTTACGTAATGAGACCGAGTGTGGTATGTATTACCACGTCTTACATGCATTAAATTGACATTATAGCATATTTTTGTGTTTCCTAAAGAAGTTGCGGAAGAATGTTGTTCTGTACACTTATTGCATAACGTCACACTCTATTGACGTCACTACGCCATTCTCGTCTGCCCCCTTGGTAACTGACGTCACGATGCATGTCAGTTGTCATCGCCTCGTACAGCCTCCTACATTAAACTACTCCGTAGCACCCCGTTTCTTGGTTTGCAGCTGCTTCGCTCGGCTAACATCACTGGTGGAAACTTTGTGTTTATGTTTTTCGACGGATATAATGTCTCAGTTAGACTCACAATTAAACAGCGATTTGGCAATGTACGTAATATTTACATTCCCACAATGCATATAAGTTGTAGAATGAATGAATTCACGTGTTTGTGATGAATGAACATGTTGTTACGTCACGTGACCTAATTGAGAGGTCATTGGTTATCCAATCAAATCGTTAGAATCTCAGGTCAAGTCATTACGACAGGTCAACGCGATATGACACTTGTGTTATATATGAGATTAGTATGCCACTACCCATACGTTGACCACGTGGGTAATAAAATAGTGTATCACTGCAGTGTATCAGACACAGTGGGATATGCTGCTGGGTGATGCTGTTCAGTGGAGTCGCTGAAGACCCGGGTTTAGTTCCCCACATGGGTACAATGTGAAGCCCATTTCTGGTGTCCCCCACCATGATATTTCTGGAATATTGCTAAAAGCGGCATAAAACCATACTCACTCCTCAATGGAGTAGATATCTATATGGGATACTCAAGTGTTTCAGCAAAACTGATCGCCAGCCAACTTACTCTAGATATTTTACAACTGTGTTTGGAAAGGAACACTTGGTGTCATTATTGACATCATTAAGTGGTCAGTGAGATTTCCCAGCAATACATGACAGAGGGTACATTTGTAGCTACAGTGTATAATTTATATGGTGGCACTTAGTGTTCAGATGCATTGCCGTTATGTGAATAACATGGACTCAAGTGGGTATGACTCCGTACTGGAGTCCAAGTTATATATGTCCTCAGACTAGGTTTAGTAGTGGGATTACCCAAGGCAGGTAACTATAACCTCAGGTACATGCCACTATAGGGCCTAAAAAAAATGTTTTGGTTCCAATTACCCGACCGACCCTTGAATTCTGGTGCCGACCCTTGATTTTTTAAGAGGTATGAATAAAATAAGCTTTCAGATACCATTGTTTTTTCTCGGCACCAATGGACATCGGTCATTCTGATAGGGAAAGTCGACATGATGGCCACAAGCTTGACTGAATAAACAATTATACATTGATAAATGTGTTATTAGTTCATACATTACTTCTAAAAAAAAGGTTTAAAAAACCCCATTCCTACCTACCTACCCTAAATTTTAAAGAGGTGTAAACGGAACCACAACATTTTTTTTGTTAGCCAAGGACAGTAACCTCTAACTCTGAAGTACAATGAACATGATGTTGTACAAGTGGTTTCGGGGGTTGTCTTGATAACCACTATGGCATCATGAGGACAACTGATACATAAAAGGTTATGAGACAGTCCCTAGAGAGATTGAGGGAGGGAGATTGGTTCAACAACTCTTTGACTAGTAGTTGTAGTGAATCTATGAGTGATATGGCTTACAATGAGAGGAATGCCTGAAGTAATGCAGGTCTCGGACATTTACCTCAAGTATGAGTATGGTGCTGACAAACTTAAAGATGTAATCACAACAAGATCAGGAATTTAACTCACGATCATAGGTTTCTAGTGTTCTCAAGGGATGCAACTCTGCACAGTTATATGCTATGCATTAGATAACAGGGCCACTTGTGAGCCCTGCGGCAATGTGATGGTATTGTAAATAACTGAATGATCAATATAGCATGCATATTTAAACTGCTATTCTCAGCTGAAAAGCAATTTGTTCTGATTTGATAGATGATGGCAAATCTAAATCGAACTTTGATATTATTGTTTGTTTTGATAAGACAAGGCATACATGATGTCTCAAGGCTGAACATACCAATTCTGATTAAAATACAAATTGGACAAAATTGCAGGATGTTGTAGTGTTCATCATAGTGGTTTTCATCATGTTTGTGTAGGTTAAGAGAGGAGTGAGTGAGTGAGTGAGTTTAGTTTTGTTGCACTCGCAATATCCCAGCTATACGGCGGTGCTCTGTAAATAATCAAGTTGGGACCAGACAATCCAGTGATCAACAACATGAGCATCGATCTACCCAATTGCGATATGATGACGTGTCCACCAAGAAAGTGAGCCTGACCACCCGATCCCGTCAGTCACCTCTTACGACAAGCATGGGTTGTTAAGAGAGGATGGAAGTATTGGATAATGTATATTGCATATATTATATGTATCGAACCAAGCATGTTTGAGAGATTGTGTGTGTCATTACCAGTAACAAATTGAAGATGAAGTATAGCAGGCACTAGGTTGTGATTGAAATGAGGACACTACTTAGCAGAAGCTTGTATAGCTTTGCATGAAAACAAAATTAGGTATTTTGAACGAGTATAGAAGATCATCAAGTTACCACAAGCGGACCAAATATGAAGATTGGGAATTAGGTAACGTTCAGGCTCTTGCAACAGTTGGATGGGTAATGGTATAGGCCCCAAGCAAATGCTGCTGAAAGAAAACATGCTCTTGTGGTGCTAACAGGAATTATTGGTCTCAAAAGCATATGGACCCGTGAGGATGTGAAGAGAGATACAATTGAACCACATGTTCCAGGGGTGAACTCAGACGGTGTTGAAATGTAGGTTGTGGTTTTTCGTATCTGTGTCAGGTAATGGCATTACTATAAATGGACGGACCACTAAATCAATAGATTAGAAGCTTGGCTCTGAGAGTTCATTATCTCAATCCTGCCGGAAGGAGGCTTCTTCTGGCCAAATGGTTCAGGACCAATTTGAGATGTAATTCATCCAAGTCAAAAACACTAACACTGGCTATTGCTATATATCATAGAGGTCTGTTATTGTTTTCTAAATATCAATCAAATATCAATAAATATCGGAAAAGTAAATTTGAGTATCATTCTATCAATATAAAAATAGTCTGAAGGAAAGCAACATATTTCATGTCGCTTGCAAGTGGTGTTGCATTTATGAATGGATTACTAACAAAAACCGTGTTCCTAGCATAGTTTACAAGCAACCAATGAATACAGACGTAACTTTGTGTATTGTCTGGATAATTTCTATATTGATAATCATGAATAATTCTCCCATCAACGATAGTTCCCTTATTCACCCTTTTCAGTCAGCCCAGCAAAATGGAGGATAGACATTAAATGAAGCTCAGTCCAATTCCATTGTTTTGAATTCATGTCTTTAATGTAAAAAATCGAGGCATGAATACTCCTGCAGCTAACTTCAGTCCTATATCGCTGCGTTACATCAGTGACCTGTTTAGCACGTCCCAGAAGGCTAGCCAGGCTCGTGCTGTGTGATTGTTGAATATTTCATGATTCGTTTTGATTTGCTAGAGGTATGGGCTTTATCATGTTGGTCTTCAAAATGTAGGCTTGCAATTTCCTTCAAATAGAGTTGTAAATATTTGTACAGTAAGTTGATGATTCCAGGTCAAACCCAAATTTAACACAGAAAGCCCTGACACAAGATACAGATGAAGACCTGATAGTATCAATAAAGGACAAGTAGCCTAACACCCTGCCTTTGATGGTTTATGTGCCTGACGGCAAGGCAGTATTCTTTACATTTAAACATCCCTTATGGAGTTGCTTTTACTGGGGTCCTTTTACTTGGATTGTAGGGTAACTTGTGATTGTTGTGCGGAGTGTCATGTTGATGTACTGAAAACAAAGGTACCAAGTTGTGTTAGCTGTTTGGTGGGTCATGTGAGCCGATTGCAGACATGTTTTGAGGATATTCGTGTCAAACACAATCGAGGGTATAGTCATGTGGCTGACAAGTTTTGTGGACAATTCTTATGAATTATCTAGTGCAGTTTGTTAGGATATCTATAATTTATGATAATGGATTTGCTTAGAGCTGAGTTCATGCCTGGCTTCAATCACAATACTTTACGGAGTTGCATATAAAATAATGTTGATAAGAAGTAGAATGCTAAATGTCATGTGAATGTATGTCAGTATGTGTACATCTAGAAGTACAGACACTGATCGCCCCTGTGTGACAGAAGTATGCTCATTGCTCAATCATCTTGTTTATACCAGCCAGTTTAAACAGACACATCAGTCACAGTGGTATTTGTCTGAGGCATGAATTTCACTTCTGGGACATTGACTTATGATAAGCAGAATATCCAATATAGTTTTTTTTAAAACATACATTGAAGAATGGCCTCATTGTATTGCAGATGATCTTACAGGATTTTCTCAAGACTTCTTATATTGAAGAATGTCCTTTCAAACATGATAATGGAAATGTTCTGCTACCCCGGTCTAGCAAATTCACCGAGACAATGAAAAATTATGAGTGTCATCACACATGTCCGGTTGATACTAAGGATAAATGTTCTGTTGCAAATATGAATTCAAAATCGTGGAATATTAGTTTCCGCAGGGCATGCAACCATCGTAGCACTAAGCACATGTGTACAACTAAGCACATGTGTACAACTAGACATTGTTTTAGTATTGGTTATGCCAAGATATTCAGACTATGACGTAAATGTGATAGTTATGATTAATATGCATTATATCTGTAAAGACACAGTTCTCTGTGGTATCATCAGGGTCTTTCATATAAAGTTGTGTTCATGAACTGTCTGTCTTTTTCAGGAATCTCTCCAGCAAGACACAAACAGTGGAATATATCTGGTAAATCCTCTGGATTTATTCAGGTGAGTGATTCTCACAGCAGGTGTTTTAGTCCATAGTTTGTCAGGTGTAATTAGGTTTTGAATATTCATACTGTTCAGGACATTTACACCTGCTGTATCAGCTGTGCTGTGTAGTTGCCTGAGGCAGCACTGGATCAACATGCTACTCATGCAGAGTGTAGAATTACTGAGTACTAGGAGCATCATGTAGCAAGGGATGGAAAAAACATTATTTTACACCCGATAGAACGAATTATGTGAAAGACACTGTAACATATTCATTGTGGGTATCCTGAAGAATGGTTATGTTGTAGGCACATGGGCATGAAGGCGAAGTTTGGAATAAATTCTGATTGGTGGTGCTATAAGTATAATCCATGAACAAGATTTTCGGTTATAGTTATCTCAATATCTCAAGTATCTCTTCCAAACAGTGTCATTGTTGCAACTAACCCTGGTAATACAATCTTCTAAATCATGTCTGACTAAAATTATGGATTTCTCATTATGATATATATCTGTCATATCACCAAGATACCCGGACATGGATGTCCCTTTTTGGACATGCTACATGTGTAGTGTGATTGGCCACTGCTTGTGTCAAGGTGCTCAGTGGCCATGAATGAGAGTGGGCAGTATGACAGAAGCCACATCGGTGATCACACTTTAATGGAACCACTGCAATTTTTGTCTGATTCCACAACTCCTTTGAGAATGCTGGGGGCATGTTGAGCTCTTCTCCTCCTCCATGTAACAGAGATAATCAGCAGCCGGTACTTAACATGTCTGTCAATCCTCCACAACCAGTTGGTAATCAGTGAAGGGCTGCGGCAGGACCTGATTGTCAGCTTTGTCTGAATTCATCCAATAGCACCTGCGGCAGATCAGGATAGGATTTTCACCAGCAGCCATTCAAAATTAAGTTGTGTCAATCAGTGGTATCTGACTGTAAATAACAGTCCATTTCCTTGCCTGTTTGGCTACTCATATGCTGAGACATGCTAGTGATTCATGTCCGATCAGATGTCTGGCTGGTTAGGGGGAGGGCAATGGTCATTTGTGGTGTATCCCTTAATACACCAACAAAGGGCTGAAGATAGTAGTCGGTCATACAGACCCTGAAACAAATATATATATATATATATATATATATACAGCCCATGCAAGTCTAGAATATGTGGCAAGTCTAGAATACCACAGTTTCAGGAGAAAATGAAAACAGTTTCTATGCTCCATTTCACTATGTTTTTTATGTTGTTATAATTTAGGAACCATATTTTCTGTAATATATTTTCATGTCAGAGACTAGACGTTAGTGTAATAGTCCAGCTGCTCTGTATACAAGGCAGCATCGGCAGTGTCTCCGTCTTTGTACGTCCATCTGGAACAGTAATACCTGCCTCCACAAGTACTATGGATAAAGGTTCAAAAAATTTCTATGAATGGGTATTATTGATATATTTTATATGTTTATTATTATTAGTTAAGAGGATTCAGCATCAAATTGGAGACATTTTCTGCTTGATTTGAGGTAATCTGATACTGACTGATTGAGTTTGGTTTTATGCCGCTTTTAGCAATATTCCAGCAACATCACGACGGGGGACACCAGAAACGGGTTTCACACATTGTACCCATGTGGGGATTCGAACCCGGGTCTTCGGCGTGACAAGCCAACTCTTTAACCACTGGGCTACCCCACTGTCCCAGGTAATCTGACAGAAAGGACCCTTTTGTTCTCACTCACTCAATCACTCACTCAAACGATGTGCCAGTGCAGTCTGTGAAACTATTCACAACAGTATGTAAAAATCTGAATTTGCAGAATGACTGCCATTTTCATATAGATGTGATCTTGCTGATTATGCACATTTCCTTGCTATCATTTACAATGTTCTCATCATATGTTCCACCACACATCCACAGATATGGTGCTCTACAGATCCTTGTAATCAGCAAAGTGTTGCCCACTTTAAGTTCTCTTTCAGTCTCACAGCATGCCTATCATTAAAGTGTAATTTGAGGAGATTTAGGAGAGGATGCCAGGCCATGTCAACAGGCTATCTATAGGTTAACTTGTCACTTAAACCAGGTTGGCATCTTAAATGCCAGTAATATTACACTGGAGGTACCAGGGTAAAGTTCAAAAATGAAAACCTTTTTGAAATGTTTTTTATCTCTAATCTGTTGCTCAATGAATATGGTAGTGTAAACTGCTGTTACAACTGTTAATATTGAAGTATCTGAGATCTCACCCAATATATGGCTGCTCTGAAGGTTTCTCAGACATACGCACAGAAGACAGGCAGAGTTACGATCACCTCAGTTGCCTTAAGTCAGTGGTATTCTTAGGGTGACTGCCGCCATATTGCTGGAATATTGCTGAGTGTGTCGTAAAACTCACTCACTCGCTCACTCTTGAAGTGGAGAATGCTTCCTGGAATGCAGTTTCTAATCTACTGGTATTAGTTTTTCTGATACAAAACCTTATCTTATTCATTATGACTGCATATCACTGTGTTCTGCAGTTGCATGGCACTATTTTTTAGGGCTGCAATGATTCGGTTTGATAACCATTATCACTATTTCAATTCAATATTAGAATAACTATTATAATTATTTCCACACAGCCAGAACATAATTTTAACCACAACTCAAACCGGTTCGAGCGTTGAAATAAGATGAAACATAATTGGTTGACGCCGGGCTAATTATCCAATGAGAATTCATGTTGAAGTGGAGCACTTTTATGGATAGACAACTTCTTTGTTGCAGTAGTAGTTGCGACGTTTTGGTGTAGATCCTAACAACTAACACCGTTATCATTCAAGCAAAACTGCTGCAACAAAGAAGTTGTCTATCCATAAAAGTGCTCCACTTCATCATGCCAGCTTCTAGATGCCACTTAAGGAAGAGAATTGATGTTAGTAGACATCGCCAAGTTGACGATGGATTTCACACTAAAAAAGCTGACTCTGAATGTTAAATCAAATCTTGTACTTCTATGAAGAATCAAATCGAAAATGATCCAATCGAGGGTCCAATATCCGGAAAATCAAATCGAATCGAGGTCTGGGTGAATGGTTGCAGCCCTACTAATCTTATATTTGGTGAGTGAGACGTCCTTCCAAACTTAGAAATATTGGTCATCGTCATCACTGTAAGAATTGTGTCAGTATAAGCTAGGACCTATTTTGTGTACCTTGTGTCTTCGGCCTAGCCTAATTTTGTACCTCATGTCAACCTTACCTTTTGTTTTTATGAAACTTAAGTCAAGGTATCTTGATAAATAAATATTGTGACTGACTACATGAGAGTGAGCCGTTGCTGGAGTCGGGGAACTGGGTAGGACAGATCCAAGCTGGTTACTGAGCTAATGTTGCTCCTGAATGGAATGACACAGGCTATATCCGGTACTGTTTATTTTTTTCTTCCTTAGTGCAGAGGTTACGATGAATCTTGTTGACAGCCCCAACCTGTACCAACAATGCTGGTGATCTAACACAGACAGCACTGAGGATTCAAAGGTCATTCAAAGGCATCCCAGTGCCATGTGGAATAGTAATAGACAATGTGCAACTTGTGAACAAATGTACAGGTTGTTTTGTACTGCCACAATGTGGTGGAGTGGGGAGACTTTCTGAGAGATGTTTAGACATTGGACAGGGTGTTTGTTCCTTGCAGTTTGAAACTCGTGAGCATCCAGGTTCGAATTGATCTTCAGCCACCCATTCTTGTCGTAAGAGGCGACTAACGGGATCGGATGGTCAGGCTTGCTGGCTTGGTTGACACATGTCATCGTATCCCAATTGCGTAGATCGATGCTCATGCTGTTGATCACTGGATTGTCTGGTCCAGATTCAATTATTTACAGACAGCTGTCAAAAAGCTGGAATATTGCAGAGTGCAGGGTTAAACAAAAAAAAAACACCATCCAATCCTTGCAGTTTCTGATGAAGAAGATAGGTGGAGGAGGATTATTACACTGGTGGAATTTCTTGAATGGTTGATTTACTTCAACTCCTCTTTCTGTAGTATGTGGTATTTTGGCATTTTGGTGAAGATGTTACAATATGTAAACATACCGTTTTCAATCAAACATTTTCTAAAAATTCTAATATTTGCTCATACATTCCAGTGTATCTATTGTATGTTAATGTACATTGTTTCGTGAAAACATTATTAGTTTAAATCACATTTTGAATCAAGTATAATTGTGTTTTCTCTGCTTAGGAAGTAATGCCCAGTGCTTTACTGTTACTACTATATTCAACAAGAGCTGTCTGGCCTACCTTGTTAGCTTGTGACAAAGTTATCTTTCAACGCCATAGTCAATTAATTAGCCTGACAAGTCAGGGTGTCCCTACCTGAGGCCACAGGGAGCACACTTGTTTATGTATTGTGGCACATGTCAGCGTGGGACGGTAAAGGTGGGAGGTCATGTGTCAGGGTCTGGGAATGGCAGACCCAAGCAGCAGCGTGTGGAAATTGTTAGGTAAACAGGAATAAAGTGGTTTTAATCATGGGTGTATCCCTCCTGCAGTCACTAGAGGAAAATGTACCATGATATGTTATGAATTATTGATTCTGCCTGTGGCTTGTTTTGCATGTCAGTCATGCATGTGCTGTCGTATCACTTTCAGGGTATGGAATTCTTCCAATTATACAATGTTATCATAAGATGACATGACTTGGACTGAATATCAAGTATTTGGCATAATGCGTCATGGAGCCTGTTAGAGCTTGATATCATAATATTTCAAAATGCCTTCTACTTTATTGCTCAGTATTGTTGATGGTGTTTTGATATGATGATAATATTCCTAATGAGGAAATAATTGCATAATGGTGCTTTGTCTCACAGACCTATTGAGCCCGTTTTGCTAGGTGTGAATCATGACAGAATAGTGAGCGATGCCCAGCTATTGTCAGCTAGTGATTTCCTAACAACCTACCCAGTCTGCCTCCATATATTCAGAAATCCAAGTGGAACGATGACAAATGATATTGTTTGCCTCTGC